AGCCTGTCAGACAACAACCCGTGGCAAAGTGTGGTCAATGGAATATTGGCCTCACTGTTGCAGAGCCTCAGGAAATCAGGCGCTAGGGCTGTTTGTATAATGGTGCCTGTATTGTGTTTACCCATTTACAGGGGATTTTTATGCTTATTTGATTCACTAAGGGGCAAATCTAGACTCACCTTGCAGCTGCAGACATCCCTGATCACATCAGGACTGGCAAGCAGAGCAAGATGCTGGGACCAGCGCAGAGCGTCACACCCTGTGTGTGCTCCTCAGAGGCTCCCTGCGCTCAGCTGCTCTTTCCTTTTTGAGGGCAGGCCTCTGGGTGAGGCTGGTGGATCTGTGATTATGCAAATCTCTCTGCTAACCATTCCCCCTTGCACAGTAACCTGTGGGGTAGTGGCAGCCCTTATACTGCAATAGAGGAGCCTTATGTCAACTTGGGGGAAGATTCTCTTCCCAGAGGCTCTCCCCGGTGACAGCCAGGGCTCTGCACCAATCAGTAGAGCTAGCCAGACTCCCAGAGGCACATGACTGCTGTGCTCCTGAGGGACTCTAGGAATGCCTGTCTGATGCCCCGCGCCTTCCAGAGCTCCTGCTGGGGCCTGCAATGCCACATTTCAGAGTAGCAGCCGTGTTAGTCTGTATCCACAAAAAGAACGGGAGTACTTGTGGCACCTTAGAGACTAACACATTTATTTGAGCATAAGCTTTCGTGGGCTACATCCCACTTCTTCATCCAAAGAAGTGGGCTGTAGCCCACGAAAGCTTATGCTCAAATAAATTTGTTAGTCTCTAAGGTGCCACAAGTACTCCTGTTCTTTTTGCCATGCCACACTGACCCTAGCACAGGTATGTAAGTTCAAAGCAGGACTGAGCCTTTCGAGCTACAATACTCTTGTTTCAGGCATCTGATGAATAGCCCGTAGTTTAAAGTTACAGCCAGGATGGCAAAGGATTTTATGGTGAGAAGTCGTGCTAGATTCACCCTTCTATTCATTGTGCCCGATTCTCTGCCCACCTACACCACTTTTACGTTGGTGTAACTCCATTGACTTCAGTGGTGTGACTCCTGATTTACACCAATATAAATGAGAGGAAGATCTTTCCTATGTGGTCTGTATTAACTCACTACAAGTATCAGTGGGACATTTCTTTCTTTAGAAAGGCGGCTGTTTTCACCTGAAATGCCGAGTTGGTGGTAAAATCTCTGTTCCCTCTTGCAGCTTCAGACTCCCCATTCAGAATCTGTTGGACAGCAAACAGTTGAATAAACCCTTCAGTCTCACCTGTCATTGTTCCCTGGCCATGGTTAACTAGAGGTTACAAAGCAGTGTTGTATCTCCAAAAGCCCATTACAAGGTTAATGTCGTACCCAAGAAAATCCAGAAACCTATTTCTTTTTTAATACGCTTCATCTATAGAAAGCTTAATGCTATACCAGGACATTTAAGACATAGGCAGAACTTCTCAAGATCTCATAGCGGTTAAATAAAGTGAAGCAAATAAGCGAGGATCCAATATTGAGTTCTTGGGCAGGTTCACTGAACTGAATGGTGAAGAAGTAAATAATAGCCAAATATACACATAAGAGGTCCGAGGCTACAGTGGAAAGCTGTCTCGAAATAATGGCTGATTTTCCTTGCTAAGCTGAGGCCACACTGTGTCCCTCCACCAGTGTAAAGTTTCTTACTAGTGAATCCTATGCCACCAGTGTAAGGGGCGTGGCTGAGGAGAAGGGGGGTGTGGCCAAGATTCTCACACCTGGCTGATCCCTGGCTGCCACATTGTCCCCTGGAGGCTGTTGGCAGGCAGTGCAATGCAGAAGAATCTTCTGGTTGCTCTAACATGCCAGAAGACTGACCGGCATGCAGCCAGCTCAAGATCAGGGGTGTACCAAGGCCACCTTGGCACCCCCATTCTGACGTGCACCATGCACTTCTTGCCCACAGCCAAGGATCTTGCTCAGTCTTTATACTGTAGTCTTGTTTAATGTCATGCCCCACAAAACTGGGTGTGGCACAAGATGCAAAATTGCATCAGTGTAATTGCGCATGTTATGACTTAAAGGCAAAGGCCTAACTGTCCTTCTCAACAATTTCCAGCCTGTTCACGCCCCAAACCTGCAGGCTCCACAGCAGCCCCCGGGGCAGGGGCTTAACACCCTCCCTGGGTTTTGCTCCCCACCCCCCGCCCTGGGTCCTGCCCCCAGGGAGCACGGGGCTGCTCCGTCCCCTAAGAATCCTCCCCTGCTGAGCCGCCTCTCTGGCCGGGTTCACTGAGACCCCTGCAGTCAGCTTCCCTGGGCCCTAGTGGGCAATGCGTCCTTAGGGCTTAACCCCTTCCTGCCCGCGCTGTAGCTGGGGGACAGGAGGCAGCTGGGTTATTATGTCAGTGGGCGGCTGGATTAGGTCAGTGGCTAGCAGCAGCTGCAAGGTGTTAGCTGCCTTTTGACACTGTGAGGGCAGGAAGGGACAAGCTGCTTCCAGCCTCGGGATGGGGAGGGGAGGGGGGAAGGGAAAGAGATGAGCTCTGCAAAGACACGGGCCAGGTCATCCCTCCCCCCCCCCGCAAAGATGGAACAGCTCCCTTCCCTTCCTTCCCGCACAGTGCAGAAAGGTGGCTGCTGGCCACATCATGGTGTGAACCCTGGCAGAAATCTTGGGGGGGGAGGGGTGAGCCTGCGTGCCCCTCACGTGTTGTGTCGGGAAGATGAGGCGCCGGGTACCAGGAGAGGCAGGTCCATCCTGGGGGCCTAGCCAGGCATGGAGGGTGGAGAGCGCTGGGCAGGGAGGGTTGGGTGGGTCAGTTGGTCACTCCACCTCTGAGGGAGAGGTGTATGAGAGTGTGTGTGTGTCACCCCTCCCCGTGTGAACCCTAAAGCCTTAAACATAAGAAGGCAAATAAAAAGAATTCAACTATTCAGTATTTCTTTTTAACAGGCTCAGTCAACTTGATGTTAATTTGAATGTTTGTACTGCATAGTTTTGATTGATTGCTGTTGAACTTGCTTGAATACGAGTAATTTTACTGGGTGTCCCGTATTCAGCATAGAGAAATATGGTCACTCTAGCTTCGATGGTATGTAAATGAATAGGCTTGTGAACTCCCCCTGAAAGTTGCTGGGTGCCTTCAACCCTATTAGATTTGAGGGCACTCAGCCCCCCACAGGATCAGTCCCTGGGTCACATCATACATGTCTTTTTTGTATTTGTAAAGGGGAATTGTTTAAGTTTCATCACTTCAGAAAAGGCATAGTCAGGGTTAAAACCATGAGTACCAACTTGGAAAACTTAGTCCAGAAGTTTATTACACTTCTGTTGCATCAAATACAAGTTGAAGAGTTACAAATGCAATGACCTACTTTCAAATCCTGCTTCAGCTTATATAGTCACTAGGCTACGCTGCAGATTTAAAACACTCTTTATTGATTTTCTCTCACTCTTATTACTATTGGCAGATTGTTTTAACACAAAAAGAAAAGGCAGGAGTAGATTATAAACTGGGACTCTGCTTTCATATTGCACTGCAAGCAGTTTCTGGGCTCCTCTGCAGTCAGCTACAAATGTGCTGGAACTCCATCCCCATTGCTGGGATAAAACTTTCTATATTTAGATACTCTCAGTCTCCAGAGTTGGGTGAAGTTGTCTAGTAGAGTCATCAATTAATTAAGCTCTTGCCCCATAGCCAGCCCCCTAAAGACCTTACAGTACATCGGCTCTGCTATCACATTCACAGAAGGGGACAACTATGCTAACTGCTAACTTTGCTGTTATTGCGTGTCTGTTCCAAACATTTTTATATTTCTTCCTGTGAATGTATATGAATATAAATTCTACTGGTACTTGAACCATTACCTTCAAAGAATGGAGATGAGACACTTGGGTATGAATTGCAATTGGAATTCAGAGTTTATTCTTCCTGTGTGTCTATGCATAAAACTGTTTTGCTCATTTGTTTTTATACCTCGTGATATTTCTGCTCATTTTAAGGGTGGAATTCTTATCCCCACCTGCACGTTGAAACCAAAACCAGATAGTCCTCAATTTGTGCCCCTGCCTGTTTTTAATTTTCTTTCTGTGCAATATTTGGTGCATTCTGGTTGAATATCCATACAATGCTGCTTGTTTATGCTCATCTGTTATGAAGTCTGCCCTAGCAGGTTGAGGGGGCTTATTTTTGATAGAGCATCACTAAAAAGTCCAGCCAAATGAGCAGGCAAACCATTTTTGTTGTTTCTTCTTTAACATAGTACTTGTCATTCCCCTTGAAGTGATATGCCACCAATGCTTTAACAAGGATCTCCCTCGCAGTTCTCCATCCCCATTGGCAATGAATGTGATCGTCCATGGGCAAAATGTTCCTTATCAAAATCCATCCATCACCATCCGTCTCCATACTTCACCATTCCCAGCCCCTCGTGAATGCCTCTATGGTGGCTTCTTACCTGGCTGTTTAGTTGTAAATATAGTTGATTAACTCCCTTATTATTGTAGTTATCCATCAAACATTTGGGATCAGATATTAGTTCAAACAACATTTAACTGTAAGGAAGGAAGAGAGACTGAAACCTCTTGTCCTTCACAGTGATCTATTTGCAATTGTAACCTGTTGGAATATATTATACATATTCTCTTTCTGTCTCTCTCCCTAATGAGTAGCTGGTAAACATCTGAAATCTGGCCCTGGCTTTCTAAAAAACCTAATGCTTTTCCTATGAATGCTGCTTTGTGTTGATCTGACCTTAAAGTGTGTCTGTATTCTGCCTTTGTGTCTGAGCCAAAGCCTAGGCATCAGGTAAAAATAAAATGTTCCCCCAAATCAGCAACTCAGAAAGGTTAAATTTCCCACTTGGACCAAACTAATCGTGGCTGTAGGCATAGATTCTTATTACAGGGATTTGCAGCTGCCACCTTAGATAAAAATCACAAAGTTTTGTCCCATCCTGAGAATCATGGGAAGATGGTTTAATCATGTTCATTTCCTATTTTCCGCTCCAGGTCCTCCAGCACATGGAAGATATCAAAGTGCGGGAAATGCAGATCTTTGACTACAAGAAGAAGATAGCAGAGGCTGAGACTAAATTAAAACAGCAACAGAATCTGTATGAAGCCGTGAGATCAGACAGGAACCTATACAGTAAAAATCTGATTGAAGCTCAGGTACAAGAATACATTTTTTACTCTGTGATTTTTGCTTGGTTTTTTTTGTTTTTGTTTTTTTAAGAAAATCATTCTCATTTATACTTTTGGAAAGGAAAGACAGATAAATAAAATCTGCCCAGGTGATATGTGTGTGTATATATATGTGTGTGTGTGTGTGTTGGGCATTAATTTTTTAGGTCATCTGCTAATCTGGACAGTTTGCATTTGGACTGAGAAGTAAAATTTGCAATCCTCGTGCGCAATGTCAGACTGCTCCCTGCTTTGCGTAAAGACCCTGGCACTTTGGAGAGAGATATTCATATCATATAGAGAAATTTTTCCCTTTCTTTCCTTCCTTCCCTCCCCTCTTCTCTGCTCTCTGTTAGGTTTGGTATAAGCATATGGCAGACATGACATATGTGAAAATGAACCCCCCCCCCCACACACACACTTTCGCTGCTGTGACTCATGTATAAGAAAGCTGCAATGGAAGAAACACTTGTCAGGTGAGGTAGCATTTTCCCACATAACTAAATGTTTCCACCTGGCTTGTGAATTTCAGGCACTGTCATTCCCCTCAGATTACAATCCTCCACCTTTTCACCTGTGAATCCCTCCAGCAATACTGGAGGAAAGGTAAAGATCACTTGTATAAAAATATACTGCATTATTCAACAGTAATGGCCTAAACACTACAGAAATCCTATAGTAAACTGCAGAGTCTGGGATGTGGATGACTGTGGTTCAGAGCCTTGGGGTATTTGAGAGAACAAGGAAATATAAGATAAACATATAGACCACACTGAACATTTATAATCTGCCCTGAGTAAGGGGTGGCATGTAGCTGCATTGCTCTAGGAGCGGACCAGAGAATGAGCTGTGCCAGAGAGTTACTGTTCCTACTTGTTCCCCACTATGGGGATGTCTGCACTATAATCAGGGGTGCCACTGCAGGTTGTGTAGACATACCTGAGCTAGCTTTGATCTAGCTAGCTAAGGTACCAGAGCGTTGAAGCTCTGGCAGCACTGGCTTAAGTGCAGACTAGCTGCCCGAGTAATTACCCAGGGTTTTGGGTGGGCTTGTACGGCCCACGCTGAAGCCTGTACCACCATGGTTTTGGTGCTATTGATACTCAAACTAGCTAGATTAAAGCTAGCTCAGGTATGTCTACATGACCTGCTATCATGCTCCATGGTTTCAGTGTAGAACTACCCCAAGTCTGGGGAGGAGTAAGTTACTTCACCCCTTAGCGTGGAGCAGCTTACTTGCTCCCTCTGTGCATCCTACCAGCAACTCTGGCCACCAATGAGCAGAGGTGTATCCAAGACTCCTGTGACTCCCAAGCTCTCTCCGACCCTTGCTCACAGCCAGATGTTTCAGACAAATAGCCCCTGCTCTCCCCACTGCAGCTGGAGTCACTATCTGAGCAGAGCTGGTCAGGAGAGTAATGGGAGGGGGCTGCTCTCCTGTACTTCCTCTCTGTGGCCAGGTAAGGGCTGTGACAACATAACACGGAGTAATTGAGGATGAGTAGCTAACGTTCCTGTGAATGTTTGTGTGTGTGAAGCATCAGCAGAAATAAGGGTCAAGCATGTCATCGTCATTGTGGCAGATCCCAAAGGGATGTGGCCTCCTGGCGGATCAAGTGGATTGATTCTAGCTAGGTCCTTAAGGTGGTCTGGCTGGACATTCAGATTTTGTCCATCCCTGGCAATCTTGTTGTGCCACTGAAGCTTTGGCAACCTCGTGATTGCCAGCTGGGCAGCGGCATTTCTTGGAATGACAGTGCCTGAAATTCACATGCTTCATAATTCATTGGTCCTCCATCCTAATACATGTTCATACCAAGAAAGGCACCAAAACCAGGTGAAGCATGTAGAGAACACTAACTTACTTTCCTTTTATAATCTTTAAAGATACAGTATCAATTTAGAACACAAACTTCTTGCACCCTCCTACAGAATTGGCAGATACACTCTGAGTTAGGCTAACGCATTAAACTCTTTAGCTAACTAAGGACATCTCAGTTGGAGTCCCTGGCATGGTGTATGTATATATACAGCCCACACAAAGATCTGTGCAGAATACTACCTACTACAGAGGCCATTAATTTACCCTTTAATGGATTATTTGATTTATAATTTGTGCTAGCTGACAGCTCTGTGTGTCAGAAGACTGCTGAGGGTAAAACATCCTTTTGGTTATAATCACACTGTACTGTATGTGGCAATAAAAAAACCAGTAATTCATAGTTCAGTAACAAGCCAGCCAGCCATGGAGAAAAAATGGCTTGGCTTAAAAACTATGCAAAATAGTAATTCCTCTTGGGAAGTAATATAAATTGGCAAAAGGTTATTTAGATAGAAGAAAGCTAGCTGTAGATATTTTTGGATTGTTTAATAACGAAAGGCTCTCCATTAACCTGCCCAGCTCACGTTGCTTCTGCTCTCCAGGACATCCTAATCTCCAACTCAGTAAAATCTCTTGGCAAGGGACTCCTTGGCTGGGTTTGAAAGCATGCTTTCAGCTTTGGGGTTCTTTCCGACATTGGGAACACATTTATTCCTTTATTTAAATTAAACTAATCCTGTTCTTTGCAAAAATCACAGGACCCTTCATGTCCCCTTCCACATACAAAGATAGCAGTGTATTTGGGTATGTATCTGTGCTTCAGATTTTAAAATATCTGGTCTGCTTCCAGAGTGTGGGAGAGATTTATAGGCGGCTGTCTAGCAGACTTTTGAATTTAATTTTCTCCTGTTACATTTACATGAGTAATTGTGTGTATATGCACATGGGCAGTTCTAGTGGCAAAGGTTACATCATTTTCAGGGTCATTTAATTGACTTAGTACAAGAGCATTGGTCAGCAGTGTTTATGGAGCTGCAGTGTATTCCCAAATCCCTTACTGCACACTATTTCATGCATCTGCCAAATACATGTGTTGAATCCACTGATCTTCTTTTCATGTCACACTGTCACCAACCGGTCACTGCAATCATAAATCTACTGTATGTGTCCCAATGTTATTTGTGAAAAGTGCCGTGACCCATCGTCAGTCTCATTTGATTAACTTTGTCAGTGTCAGTACTCTGGCCAGAGGCTTGGAGTTGGAGAACTGCTGTGTTAAGTGTCTTATGCAAAAATATTTCACTTATCTACCAAGTGGGGAATCTGCACGTATTGAATGTACTGTCCTCCAATTTTCTGTCACCATTCCTCACAGTCACTATCAGTCACAGACAAAAGCAGCCTCCCAATGTTGTACTAGCAGGTGACTCTCTGGATATAGGACCATATACGCACGTGCATAGAAGTGGTTCCGTAGGTTAGTTATCCACGGTCACTGATCTCTCTGCCATGCTATCTAACTTGACTTCAACCACCTTGCTATATGTTCCGGGGCTGGAACATGTAAAAAATGTCTTCACCCAAGGGACTTTTCTACCCCCTAACGCCCTCAGTCCCACACAATCAAAGCCTGCATATAAGAGTTGGCTGGCTGACCACTTCTGATGTGTATGTGGGTATTTGTGAAGGATTATGCTCATTTGCATACAGAGACATGCCTGGGCACATGAGTACTTTCATTTGGAAAAATAATAGCTCCCTCCCAACATTTGTGCAAACAAAGCACAGTTGTACAAGTGTTTGTTGAAGAGCAAGCCAATAAAGTCATGAAAACGGATAGGATCACAGTTGCATTATTCACTTATATCCACTGCTAGGTCCTATGATGTGTCCAGCACTCTAAATAAGGTGGTTTACAGGCTTATTGTTGTTGTCAATGGCCTTTTAACAGTCTGATTACTGCAATATCATGCCAGCATAAACATCAAATGACCATGTAATGGAATTGTTTTTCTTTGCTAACGTTAAAAGTAATGTCTTCTATGCACAGCTTAGTAGGATAAGGATTTGGTTGGGAGTCTTCTCCTCTCAGGTGCTGTGGTTTAATGTCAAGTGTCAATATATCTTGAACTTCCAGGCACAAAATACTTGAATTCTCTTTTATCCCTTTTTAGAATCATAGAAATGTGGGGCTGCCAGGCCCCTCGAGAGGTTACCTAGTCATCCCCCTGTGCCGATGCAGGATTAAGTATACCTATCTCACCCCGACAGATGTTTGATGAACATCTGTTTTGTCCCATTAGGACGAGATCACTGAAATGAAGAAAAAACTGAAGATCATGACTCATCAGGTTGATCAGCTTAAAGAAGAGATCACAGCCAAAGAGGCAGCTCTTGTGAAAGTACATATGGAACATCAACGAATAGAAAAGGAAAAGGAAGCTCTGAAGGTAAGGCACCTTAGTTGTGGGGTGTTTGCCAGGACTCATTAGGAAGGAAAGGACACGGTTTCAAAGGTTCTTTCATATTCCCTGGCCCATAGTACTTTGATGAACTCTTTAAGAACTATTCTGTAATTGTAGTATAACTCTCTATGGCCTTTACAGGTATTATGTGTATGAGTCTACCATGTATGTGATGGAAGAATAGATCCTTTTGTTTCTCTGCACCTAAAATTGTAGTCATCAGATTCCTAGATTACTTGTTGAAAGCTTAAATTCTCCCTCTCTTTCAAAACCCCAAACTGTGCTCACAAATATAGGGTTTTGTGGGTGTGCTGAATGCATCATTCTCTGTATAGTTGGCCCTTAGAATAGGAATTATTATTATAGAATTATTATTATCATAGAATTATGAATTATTTGGGGAAGTTCTCTGGCCTGTGTTATACAAGAGGATAAGGCTAAATAATCACAGTGGTCCCTTCTGGGCTTGGAATCTGACCCTGTGATTACAAGTTTTGTTTCCTTTAATTTTTGTGTCCGTAGTTTTAAGTGCTAACACAGTACTACCACAGTTCTCAGTCCTGTATTGCTGTGTAACTAGCAAGGACAAGCCTTCAGAGAATCAGGTAGTATCTTACAGTAGCTCCCTCTGCTCAGAAAGAAACTTCACTATTGTGTGTATCTGTGTTAAATCAAAGGATGGTAGCCCAGCGATCTCTTGTTCTTTTTCTCAGCATTCTCTGTAACCCCTCCTTGGATATATTATTACATGTGTGTTGACAGCTCAACCCAATTTGCTCCTTTTTCCCAAGTCTGAGAGTTAGAGAAACAGTATCCATAGCAGGTCATTTTTCTCTTCACTTAGTCCCATAAAAAATCCCTTGCCATTTTCCACAGTGCTTTCTTTTTGTCAATGTCTCAGTATGGTCCAATGACTCCTTAGGTTTTCAGCCACTGTCAGCACATTACAGTTATGACAGGATGTCAATAGAACTGTTTAAAAAGGTGATTCCTCTATCGGTTCTGTCTCAGAGTTGTTATATCAGTTACAGGGAAGCCAAACAGCACCTAATATTCTGCGGGCAGGATTCTGCCTTAACCAGTTCTCAGGCCTGTCTTGTCACCTCAGAATCATCCACCATCAGTTTGACAGCAATTTGATTGCTACACTGTTTTACCTACTCAGTTATTCACTCACAAGTATGTCCATGGGCTAGCATCATGTTAGTGACTGGCTTTGGGGCATTGTGGCTTTTTTCACCTACGTGTGTCTGCTGAATGCAAAGGTAGAGAACGGTGAGGGGAATAACTGACATAGGCACAAAAGAGCCCAATTATTCTTCTGGCATGAAGGCTTCAATTTGTCCTGTTTGCACTGATGTGAAGAAAGCAGGCGTTGACTGAAAAATCAGCTAAGTGAAATTGTGTAACATGGAGGAGTAAGATTCACACAGGTGCTTTTCTGCAAATATGAGGTTTGTGCTTAATGCAGTAGCTTACAGGGATGTGTTACATATATGCATGATGAGCGAACTTTACATGAAGCCTGATCCAAAGCCCATTGGAGACAACAGGAGTCTTTCCATTGATTTAGGTAGGTTTTGGATCCGGCCTGTGGTTCTAAGCGGTTTGGTTAAGCATCTGGATGTATCTGAAACCTATCGGAATCTTGACCCTGCAGAATCGAGTTGGAGATTCCACACAAATAGCCACTATTGCAATTTCTAGCACTTGTGGTTCCAATCACAGGCAGAAAGCCCTTGGGAACAGCTTTCTCATGGGGTTGCAGCATTCCTGGTTCCAGCCCTGGCTGGAGATTGAAGGTTAAAAGGCCCTCTTCCCTGAACATTTCAGAATCTAAACAACTATCTGGTTTGAATTTGGTTCTAGATGTTGGCAAAGATTCAAAGGTATTCTCATTTTTTTCCAAAATGAGTTCTCCTGTTTCTAATAAGACTCTGGGTCAGATCCTCAGCTGGCTTCAAAGGAGCAGCACTGATTTGCACCAGTTGAGGAACTGACCTTTTATCTGCATATAATGTAACTATGTATGTAACCTAGTCTTGTTTCTCTTACCTTCTGTATATAAGACCCCAATACTGTAGCTATTGAAACCACTAATCCCACCAGACTTCTGCTTGAGTTTGTAGGGCCATGGAGTGACTAGCAGTGGTTAGATTCTTTACTGTACCCGCCAGCCCAGATTTATATGTACTTAATGCATTCCTCTGAGGGATTTGTTTATGTCAGAGTTTCCTGCCAACATCTAATGCCACATCTTGTTTACAACTTGTATTTTCTGTGGCATAAGGAGAATGCTGAATTTTGATATATTAAAAAAATATTACAGAGCATTGCCAAATGCATGAGCAATTTTACATTTGTAGACAGCTTTTACACACTGTTGATTGCATTTTAATGTAAAGTGGCTTACATTTGTGTTCTGGTGATGGATTCTGATCAGCATCCAACACTGAGTATGAGAGATATGAATGTTGCAGATATGGGAAAATAAAAGTTTTATTAAAGAAAACAAGAGCGGAACAAGATCTTTTATTATGATGATGGAATTGTAGTTTCTGTCCTCTTAAATTATTGCTGTTTCAGGCACACCCTTCATCACATTCTGATTCTCTCACTTTTGTATGATGCTTTTTCTCAAGAAGCACCTTGTAATCAGATCCTAGCTAAAGCATTTCTTTTATTTGTGTACAGGCTTAAAAGCTTTTGAACCTGTACAAACAGACCTCATTAAGATAGTGCCATCTTGACTACGCCTAACAGTGCTAGATACCTGTTTAGTAATCCAGCAAGACCTTATTACTCTTTCTGTGGATAAATATGTTAAATTTTAGTACTCATGACAATGAGATATAGATGTTGGTCAAATCCCATCTGTAGCACAGGTAGATAGTTTTCAAGCTGTCTCCACACAGTTTTGCAACGGCGTATCACTCCTGATCAGTGGCGACCCTGCTATTCCAGCCTTCTCCGCCTCGCTCTCAAATCTGCTAAAGCACCTTAATTTTGACTTTCAGAGACTTCTGCTATTCCACGTCTGGCTGCGACATATTTTTGCCCATGAGCCTTAATCCTGACCTACAACAACCCTTGTTATTCCAGTCCTGGCCCTCTTCATAGCTAATCTCACAACTCTTCTGAATTGTACCAAGTTTTGCAAGATGGATTAACCTCTTTTAGGCACTAGGATGAGATCCTCAAACTTATGTTTACTTGCAACCTAAGCTAGCTTTGAATCCAACTCTGCTGTGTTGTAACAGCAGACAGCAACTGACCCCGCCATCCCCAACATTTTTTCTTTATTTGCATTATATGAAGTGCCCCCGAATACAGATCAAGACCTTACCATAAATATAGAGAAATCTTTCCAAATTTCTCCAGAGTATAACATTCAATACAAATATGTCTGACATGTTGTTTACACCATTTCTTTCTGGCTCTTTGTGTGTTCGCTTGTATTTCTTATTTGCTCTTGAGAACCAGCAACACGTGCACAACACAGGAAACTAAATGAAAGTACAAGGCTATCTCTAAACCCTAATCCTAAATTCCCAGGTTTATGTAGTGGGAAATTGTTGCTAAGTACAGTTTATCTATATTCTTTGCTTTTGTCAGGCTGAGCTGCTTAAAATGAAACAACAAGCCCTGGAGACCAAACACTTTATTGAAAAACAGGAGGCAGAAGAGAGAAAACTCCTGAAAATTATTGCTGAGGCTGATGCCGAGAGGCTGAGGCAGAAGAAGGAATTAGACCAGGTAAGAAGGTCTAATTGAGAAGGAGCCTCTCCTTCTTGATTGCCATTCCAACCCACAGAAACAATCCTTTGTTCCATTTCTTCCCCCCACCCGCTTTTTAAGGAATGGATCTTCAGCTGGGGTAAATTGATGGTGTTCCATGGAAATCAACCTGTTACTGTATTGATGTCAACGGAACGACTTCAATTTACATCACCCAGGCTCTGACCCTACACTGGGGGGAGATATAGGTACTTAACAAGCTTTCATTCACTGATAATGAAATAACATTTTGATTGAACTGCTCTTGACTGATGAAGATACAGGCCTTGATGTTTTATGACTGACAGCTTTATAGCTTAATATCTTGCCTTGTTCTGCATCCCTAGGTTATCAGCGAGAGAGACATCCTGGGGTCACAGCTTGTTCGGCGCAATGACGAATTAGCTCTGCTTTATGAAAAGATCAAAATCCAGCAGTCCATCCTAAACAAGGGGGAGACTCAGTACCGGCAGAGAATGGAAGACATTCGACTCCTCAAGCTGGAGATCAAGAAACTTCGGCGGGAGAAGGGAATACTTTGCAAGAGCGTGGCTAATGTGGAGGAACTCAGGTAGAAAGGCAGAATGAATACATTTCACTAGCGGCTGCAGCCATGACATTACATTTGAGACACACGAGAAAGCTTGTTTTCACACATGGTAAAGATTTGTAATGACAAACAAGGTACTCCGAAGGAGGGTTTGCTTTATCTGACCTCAAACACTAACTAGTTTAAATTCATAAACCAATTGATCAGTAATTAGAAAAAATAGGGAGAAAGAAAAAAAAAAGATGCCTGGACCCAAAAGAAGCCATATCCAAAATTCACCGTGGACTTGTGAGTTACTGGTGACATTACAAGTTTGACAGACAGCAGGAGAAAAGGTGTTCACAGTCCGGTGAGCTACTTAGTGGTGTCCAGGGCCCACATTAGTGGAACTGCTTTTTATTAGGCAATCCGTAGAGGAAGGAGAACATTTGACATATTTATAACAAACTCCCATATGTTTTCAGCGTTCCATCCTGCTAGATTTATATGTGAGTCTGACCGGTGAGAAAGATTTAGTTACATTTTCATTGAAGGTTGTGTTTCCTTAAAAGCGCAGTTTTATAGCCCTGACTGATTTATCATCTCCTACTTTGACTTAATGTTTTCCTTCTCTTTTTAACCTTACTATACTTGAGGCATATTCTTTCCTGGTGGGAAAACATTGTCATTTGCTGTACAATCACTGGGGGACTTCTAAAGAAACAGAGCTGTGTTTCCAGCAGGTAACTATATCCCAAAGCCTGGAGATGGAGGGTATGGTACTGCCCGCATTCACACTAATTTTGGTATAACCCTTTTGGGTGAGATTCTCAGCTGGGGAAATAAGGTCTACTTCTATTGATTTCTGTGGGGCTACACTGATTTACCCCAGCTGAGGTGCTGGCCCATTGACTGCAGTCGAGTTATGCCAGTTTTGGAGAAACAGGCCCAGGATTTTAACAACTGTGGCTCACATTCACTGACTGCAAACAAAGGTAGGGTTTGAGCCTGCTGCTCAAATGCATTGGACTGGAAGACTGTTCCTGTATTGAAATGCAAGGAATGTATTGAAGTATAGGGTGATGCCTGCCATCATGGGTGGATCAATTCTTGCTAACTACAGCAGCAAGCCTACACTTTAATGAACTCCCAAACCATTACTAAAACTGCCAGCTGAAGGAGTCCTTTTATCATTTGTACAACTAATTAGATTTAACCCAGTTTCATTATAAGCGTTTTTGGCTTGCCAATGGGAGATGCCCTTTTCCCTTTCCCTCACTCCATCCAAACCTACACACTGGACCCTGCAGCATCAGGATTTTCCAAACAGCCAGCCAAATTCAGCCGAGGATTTTGGCAGTTTCAGAGGTGGAAATCCGCTGCGGGAGGGCGAAGTGGGAAGGCAAAGCAGCCATTACTTCCCCTTTGCTGGGTGGCGGGGAGTTGCAGGTGCCCAACACAGCAATGGCTCCGACCAAGGATGTGGTCTAGGCAGAGCTGCTGGAGAATGTGCTGATTCAGCATGTGCCCACAACAGCCTTGATTGCCAAGGTTCTTAGGGGAGTGCCCAGTGAATATTAAATCAGCCCCTGCTTAGTGGTGAATGACTTCTGGAGCATGTGGGTGAGGTCAGAACGGGGAAGTGTAAACTCTTCTTTGAGTGATTGCACATGTCTGTTCCACTTAGACGTGTGCAACACATCTCAAAGGACAACAGCTGCAGTATGGGTAAGTAACTGTCTTTTACACCTCCCCATGCCAGCTACGGTGAATCTGGCCTGATGTGTATTAAACTGTTCTGTGAAGTGAGACTCACACAATAAAGGCTACAACTGCACCTTTGTTAGGAGGAGAAATTATATGATTAGTTTTAAATGAAGATATTAAAGTCAAGGAGGCTTTACTATTGCATGCGATAGAAGGGGATAGGTGATAATAACATGTCCACTGTACAGGCCCACCAGACTTTTACCCTCCACTTCACTTCTGTTCCCAAGCTGCTGGGCTAGAATGCAGTTTGAAACTAGTGGTGAATGACTTGATGTCTACCCCACAGGCAGTTTGGAATTGGGGTGACAAACTGCCTGGCCTGCTTACAGTTGCCCTGTATACTTACAGAGTTCTGTGTTGTGGGAGTACCAGGGACATGTTTATTTTAGCGTATGTGTGTGTAACAGTGTCACTATGTTCTGAGTCCTTCAAGGACATGTAGTGAGAGACTATAACCAAGAACCAAACTTGTATTTTCTGCAGTGTAGTGACCACGAGGCTGGACCATAATTATCTGTTTTCTTAACTGGACTGAGATGCTCCCTCTCATAATTCATTCCTCAAAACAGTCTGAAGTGTGGCCTTTAGTGAATACCGTGGACCATGTGTGATCCCTGTGGGATGAAATGCTGTAGTCAGAGTCAAGTTATTAGGCTCAGTGCAGGGGTAACTGGGTAAAATTCTATGGCCTGTGTTAAGCAGGAAGTCAGACTAGAGGATCTTATGATCCTTTCTAGCCTCAAATCTATGAAATAGCTAGAAAAATTCCAGGCAGTGAGCTCTATTAAATTGAGAAATAGTGGGAAGTGGTGAAAAGCCCTCGCTTGAGTCATTAAGATAGATGAAGCAACAGAAAATATATCGTGGGGGTACAACCGTGCAGTGGGATGGGAAGGATGATTGGCTGACCACATGAGTCTCTTCCATTGCTAATGATCCTGCATGTAAGGGAATGAAGAGTTAATGCTAATGCAGACGTTTGATTTCTTTGTGAAAGTTCATGGTTGTTGTTTTTTTTGTCCTGAACTTTAGGCAGGAGGTTTATCACATGCAGAAGGAGCTACTGAAGGAACGAACTCGATGCAGAGCCCTAGAGGAGGAGCTGGAGAACCCCATGAATGTTCACAGATGGAGAAAATTGGAGGTAACATTTTAGCATAACATTATCACAAGCACCAAAAAGGCCATATTTCCAAATCGACAGCATAGCGCAAGTCATATTTTGTTTAATGTTATGCAAATTGGCATTTAGAGGGGCAGGCAGAGTGAAATTTCCATAGTCCCAATGGTGGTTAACTGCTGAATGGCTTCTTCACACAATGCAATCAGTGTTATTTTTGTGTTGCTTCCATAATGTACAATCGTAAAAGGCTTTGCTAAAGAGGATAGGGAGATCTTGAGTTGAGATTCAAAGGGAAATGATTCATTAGAAGGAAGAGATTGTTCAAAGAAGAGAAGACAAGTCCCTAGTGAAGGTGTGACCCTCTCTTCACTCAGTATGGAAAGTTGTGTGGGACAGAAATGAGAGGGGCTAGGATAAGAGTAGTGGAACAGGGAGTGGGTCGATCTCAGGTCAGAGAGGTAAGCAGTCGGTGAGGGGAAGAACAGGCAACCAAATCAATAATGGTGAGTTTCCAATGCAAACCACTGTGGTTAACATGATGTAAATGTTTATGTATGCAGCAAGTCCAAATTTTCACAGTATCCAACCCTACCAAATGAAGACAAAAAAACCCCCAACCTGTTAAGCACAAACCAAATATATGAGCTCAATTGACACCATTGGATATTTCTTAGATTGCCTCAGAGCCAGCTGAGATCTCTTTTGCATATGGCTAGTCTCTGATCTGATGCCAAGGGTTGCTTAGCTGCCCTAGTAAATGAGTGATAACATGCTATCCCCCAAAGAAGTGCATCTGAAGATTTTGGCTGTGCTGACTAATATGATAGTTAATTTCTGATCTTTCAGTGCTGAGTTTAAAGCTACACAGTGTGCTGACCTTTTCTCCTGGAATGGAGATAAAATACAGGATGCTGAAGTGCACTGAGGAGATCTAAGCACAATCTCCAGCAGCTCCAGATAAAAATGGGAAATCATGCCATTCAAAAAATCAGATGGTAGGAGACTGGATATTTCAGGGGACTGATAATGGGAGATGAAGTCTTTCAATTCTAGGTCACTGGTTTGGATCTGGATCACTGAAAGGTCAGCAGTTGTTAACAACCATATGAAATGATTTTGATGGGGTCTCGGTCCAATTCCTTATGAACAAACATCCCCCATGACAAAAGATGCCAATACAGTTGTCATGAATTAGCACCCAGTTTGGCAGTGGTCTAAGAAGGGCCAACGACTGAGTGGGTCCTGGGGCCTGAACTCCCTTTATTATTCCTTAAAAACTGATCTTAAGAATGGCCAGACTGGGTCAGACCAATGGTCCATCTAGCCCCGTATCCTGTCTTCCGATAGAGGCTAGTGCCAGGTGCTTCAGAGGGAATGAACAGAATAAGCAATCATCAGGTGATCCATCCCCTGTCATTCACTCCTAGCTTCTGGCAAACAGAGCGTAGGGACACTCTGCAACTGGGCGTAGACACATGAGTGCAAGGAGAAGGGAAAAATGTGGACAAAGCTTGTTCTTCTTTTTCCTGTGCTGCACACTTTCAGTGGCTAGAGAACTCCAGTATAGTGGCTGCAGTCTGCCCCCTTTATAAGCACTAGATTCATTTTAAAAATGGGATGCCATACATAGGGGAGTTTTAAAGACTCAGAATAGTTATATAGGGGGAACATCCTCCAGGATCACCTCCACCACTCCCAAAGACAATGTTGTAGTGTCCCTCCCTCTGATTCAAGAGGACAGAATCCGCTCCCTCAGGAGCTCCTTTTTGTCTGGGTTCTTATATGCATCCATCAGCATGGTTTCTGAATGCCTGTGCTGCTCCATGTATGTCAGTAATGGCTTCTGCTAAAAAATGAAGTATTAATCTCATCCTCCTCCTTCCTCCCCTCCAGCCCCAGGGAGGCTGCATGTGCAGATATCCCAGCCTTGCCTGTTTGGGATTAGGCTGCTGGGATGCCCCATCACAATGTTTGGTTTGAAAGGGACTCTCCAGGTCGTAAACATTGGCCTACCATGGCAGATCTCCCATACTGAGAGGCTTACTTTCAGAAGGATTGCTTGTATGTACGCTCTTTTCAACCAGGTCATGCTGCTACTGGGAACCCAGACACTCAGATTTCATTCAGTCATATTGGTACACAACAAGGACACGAGGCATAGACTGCGAGGTATAGGCTGTACAGCTGTACTTTAAAAAATAATGTTCTTCTTTAATAGGCCAGTGACCCGAGTACCTATGAATTGATACAGAAGATACACACACTACAGAAACGGCTCATCAGTAAGACAGAAGAAGTGGTTGAGAAAGAATTGCTTCTTCAGGTACTGTAGCATCATCTCTGTCTTCAGTATCTCAGCACAGCATATTTGTTGTACCCTGCGTATGCAGCCTCCATAGGTATGCTCCCAATATTGTTATTAGGATGCCTTTCCTCTGAATTGTGGAGTATCAGGGGGTAGCTGTGTTAGTCTGTATCCACAAAAACAACAAGGAGTCTGGTGGCACCTTAAAGACTAACAGATTTATTTGGCATAAGCTTTCATGGGTAAAAAACCTCACTTCACTTGCTTATGCCCAAATAAATCTGTTAGTCTTTAAGGTGCCACCAGACTCCTTGTTGTTTTTCTGAATTGTGGAGTTTGCTTGTTCTCCTGCATTTCCCTTAGCTAGTGGTAGATGGCAGCACTTACACACAGAAAACAAATATCACCTGATTAGTTGATTTTCATGCCCCAGTCACTGATATCTGGAAGACTCTGAAAAATAAAAAAAAAGGTTTGATTTATTTTATTTGGCCACCAAAAACCAAACTAAATAAAAATGAAATCAAACTGGTATTTTCTTCAGCGTCCTGGTAATGACAGGCATGATCAAAAGGACTAAGAAATGCCTGACCAAGGAAATTATGTTTACTTGAAAGCTGATCTATTGATTTATAGGCAGTCATCATCCCAATAGCAGAACCCCTTACTAAATTACCACAACGTCACCGAACCATACACAAAGACTGAAATGGTGCTAGAGGGGAACATGGGGTAAGTCCCCTTTCAATATTGGTTCTTCCTGCCAACATAGATGGAGAATCTCCCTCTGACTCAGTTGACATGGGGCAGGAGATCCTCCAGCCCCCAACCAAAGGGATCAAGAAGAAGAGGCTGTTATATTACTTTCCTGATGGAGCTGCATGTGAGGGGGTTACTTTACCAGCGTTCATACACCTTTGCAAATAGAGCACCCCTATTGGGGATAAAAACAGGGACCAGACCCTGGCTGAGGTTTAAGACAGTGGGAAACAAGCAGCAACTAAGTTCCTTACTGTGGAGCCTTTTTCTTCTCTTCCCTTGGCCTTGCTTATTGAGTTTGCTCTGCAGCTGATGTATGCAGCCAGAGTACAGAACACACCTATTCCACAAGGTGCTACCGTACATGTTTCAATCGGAATAAAGCCCCTCGTGTTTAAAGATATTTGACATTTTTCCATCTTTCGTTATTGTTCCAAACTGCCCTGGTCTCCCTGGAACTGCTCTGCCATTGCAGGAAGAAATGAAGCTTTTGTTGATTCCTGTCACCAACAGAATCTTTTTTTTAATGCTACTGTGGGTGGAAGGTCATAACATGGAAATAAATGGGTCCCTTTATGCTAGAGCTGTAAACGCTATGGGCAGACTCGCCACTTCCAAACAGAGGTGATTTTTTTTTTATGGGTCTTTTGTTGCATGCAGGTCAGGTCTTTTCTGGGCCCTTGGGGGAAAGTGAGAATTCTTGATGTTTTGATGTTTTGCTATTAATCTCTGGAATGCTCTAAACCGGAGACAGTAGTAAATTGGTGGAGCTATGTTGCTGGTTCAAAGAACCACACTGCTTTTTGTGTACTAGCGATATGTTGAACACAGTGAGTTTTGTGAATGTTCTCAGATTTCTGGGTATGCATGCTGGGTGCTTTGGATGTGTTTAAATCAACACAACAATCCTCAGGCAGAGATGGAATACCGGCAGAAATATATAAATCTGCGGGTCAAAGGTGGTAACAGCATTCCAGAAGATCCTTACTGACACCTGGGACAACGAAGAAATGCCACAAGACTTCAAAGATACCACAATTATTCCTTTAAAAAAAGATAAAGGCAGCAAAATGGTCTGTGATAACTACCGTGGGATAGCTCTCCTATCTGTTGCTGGAAAAATCTTTGCTTGTGTCCTCCTGAACCGACTGATTTCATCTGTCTCAGAAGCCAATCTACCTGAGACTCAGTGTGGAATCAGACCTTGTGTAGCGGGGTGGTCACCTGCTCCTGCCCTGAAGAGCTTGAAATCAGCCCTTAAAGAGGGCTGCAGCTCTGAATGCTGGGCTGATTGGGGAAGCAGCCGCAGCTGGGCCACGCCCCAATCAGGGCCCAGCTGGCCCTATAAAGGCTGGGAGCCAGGAGCAAGGACTCAGTCTCTCTCTGTTTGTAGAGGGAGATGGGCCTGGCTGCAGGGAGCTAGAGACAGAGTACCTGAGTGGAGCAGGGCTGGGGAAAGGCTGAGGAGCTGGGGAGCTCCAGCCTGGAAAACCCCAGGCTGCGGCCTAGCAGAAGGCCAAGGGGTACTGGGGGTTGCACAGGGCAGCCTAGGGGTAGGCCAAGGCAGCAGGTCCAAACCCAACCTTGCCAGTGATGAGTAGGCTGATACTACAGTCTGCCCCAGGGCGTGGGGCTAGACGATGACTGGCAGTAGCCTTATACTGAGGCGAGGTGGGAATAGTGGGTGGGGGTTCCCCGGGGAGGGGAGACCCTAAGACTGAGGGTTTACTGCTAGGGGGCAGCACCCCAGGTACAAGGGCACCGGGGTCCAGGGAGGGACATGGGGGCCAGAGGACAGGCGGATCACCGGCCTGCAGAGGGCGCTCCTGGGTCGATGAGTTAATTCCCAGAAGAGACCAGCAGGAGGCGCCACAGGGTGAGTCCGCTCCTCTACACCTGGTCATAGCACTATAGACATGATTTTTAGTATCAGGCAAATACAAGAAAAATGTATCGAACAAAACATGGATCTGTTTAGTGTCTTCATTGATTTGACAAAAGCATTTGATACAATCAGTAGAGAAGGATCATGGACAATCCTCAGCAAACTTGGTTGCCCACCAAAACTGGTAAAGATCATTCGTTTATTTCATGACGGGATGCAAGGTCAGGTACTTTTTAATGGAGATTTCATTGATTCCTTTTCCATTTCAAATGGAGTCAAACAAGACTGTGTCCTTTCCCATGTACTGTTCAACCTCTTCTTCACCCAAATTCTCAACCATGCTACAACTAGGCTCAACAGAGGCATATACATCAGATACAGACACAATAGCTCAGTCTTCAATCTTATGAGGCTTAAAGCAAAAACAAAAGTAACAGAACTACTAATAAGAGAAGCACTCTTTGCGGATGATTGTGCCCTGCTAGCACGCACAGAGGGAGATCTCCAGTGCATCATAGATCGCTTCGCTGAAGCATCAAAATTGTTTGGGCTTACAATCAACCTAGAGAAAATGGTGGTGTTGCATCAATCATTTTCATCACTCCATGTCATATCCCCTAGCATATCCATTAGTGGAATCCAACTAAAGCAAGTTGACAGTTTTACCTATCTCGGCAGCAATATCTCTAATGATGGGTCTCTTGATAAAGAGATCACAAACAGGATACAGAAAGCTTCTCAGTCATTAGGAAAGCTACGTAACAAAGTCCTGAAATCCCACAACAATAGCCCTCTCAACAAAAACAAAACTTTATCATGCTTTTGTGCTCACATCTCTCCTCTGCGGCTGAGAGACCTGGACACCATACAAATGGCATATCAAACAACTAGAGGCCTTCCATATGCGGTCTCTGCGTGCCATTATGGGGATCCACTGGCAGGACAAAATTACCAACCTGGAGGTTCTCCAAAAGTCAAATGCCACAAGCATCCAGGCCATGCTGATAAAAGCCCAACTACGCTGGGTTGGACACGTCATTAGGATGCCTGAATATCGACTTCCCAGAAACATTTTCTATGGCGAATTGGCACAAGGACACCAGAATCAAGGCCACCCCAGAAAGCGCTACAAGGACAGCATCAAGAACAGCACACACTTTGGTGCAGTAAAACCAGATGATCTTGAGAAGGCTGCGTTAAATAGATCAGCAGGGCAGCACACAGCACTCAGAGCTTTCCAAGCCTTTGAAGAAGACAGAAATAATCGATTGTTAGCTGCCAGGGAAAAGCGTCATACCCCTGCTATAGCTACCAAGATGCTCACCAATGACTTTGTCTGCCCAATATGCTCATGAGAATGCGCGTCATGCTTTGCACTTCAGAATCATTCCAGAATCCACAAAAAGAGAGAGCATGAAAACGTCATCGTTGAACCGATGGACTACACACACAAATCAACGCATATGAACAAAAATGGAGTTACACCTGGTATGGAGGGAGCTTTGTGGACTGGGCATTGAGCACAGTGCAAGACATTGGTATTTGGAAACATCCCTTTTTTCTGGAACTGGTTGGGTCCTCTACTTCAGTTACATGCAAGGTTTGGAGAGTGTTCATTTTACCACATTCTCACAGCAGAACCATAACATTTGCACAAGAAAAATAAATGCTACCTGTATCATACATACTCCAGCTCTGCCTTCCATCCATGACTCCAGTCTTTTTTGTGTGTGTGGATACTATTTAAAAAATCACACAAAGCACTGAGTGGGGATCAGATGGGCATATTGATCGGAATATTCTTGATTAAAAAACACTGACTATAGATCCATGTAGAAAGCTACGCTACATACTCATCAGATTTGCTCCTACATGTATTTGGTCATATCCACTTACTTTAGCCTCTAAAATATATTTTCATTACTTTTTACTCCTGTTAGATCTGCAGAAACAATGCAGCTATGAGAGAGTGTGCTACATTCCATTCTGGCTTACACATCACCAACAGAAAAAATGAACTACGTTTCAAATGGAGAATCTTTCTTGCTGGTGATATGTGAGCCAGGAAGAAACCAGCTTGACTCTCAGATTCCAGACTATCAGTAAACAAAACCACCCTTTTTAACTTGCGTAGATTTGCTCTGTAAATCAACCACTGAGAGGTAATAAATATGAAGCACCACATTGCCATTTTTAGAGCCATTTTTCACAGAAGAAATTACACTTTAAGTGACAAATAGAAAAATGCCTCCATGTGTGTTAAATTATTAACTCCTTTCCTCTTTTCGTCTTCCACATAACCTGCAGCCACCTCACCTTGGGCTGTAATTCATCAGATCTCACATGCCAGGCTGGGAGGAGCTGCATGAGGTCT